TCTTATTCATTTCTGCCTTCCCAGCATCAAACATAGGGCTTTGAACATGAGAGCCAATTACTCTTCAATGAATGGGTATAGATATATAAAATTAGTACAGATATATAGAATATAAATGAGTGTAGATATATAGGCATTCATTTTATATATTATAAATGTATGTATAGATATATAGATATACATTTATTTATATGATATATGTTTACATATTATATATAAAATATATTTAGCATATATATATTTTTTTGTTTGTTTTTTTGCGGTACGCGGGCCTCTCACTGTTGTGGCCTCTCCCGTTGCGGAGCACAGGCTCCGGACGCACAGGCTCAGCGGCCATGGCTCACGGGCCCAGCCACTCCGTGGCATGTGGGATCCTCCCGGACCGGGGCTCGAACCCGTGTCCCCTGCATCGGCAGGCGGACTCTCAACCACTGCGCCACCAGGGAAGCCCTAGCATATATATGTTTGAATTCAGAATTCCAGGAAAGAGAATCCTTCATGTGATATGAGAAAAGAATTGTTTTTTGGTGAGTGGAAGTACTGTCTTTGTGTTCATACAAAGCCAATACATAATAGGTAGCTATGTTAGGTTTCAACTCCTTACGATGATGTAGCTGTGATGGTCAAGGTCAGACTCCTGAGAAAGATCAAATTCCCAAGTTTCCTTTCATTTTAAGGAGTGAGATCCTTCAAGTCTCTTGCTCTTGTTCTTCCTTCCCAACATGACTAAAATTCATGTCTCATTTAGGAGCCTATATTATCTTCTATCTTCAGTTAGTAAATACTTCTGACTTGTTAATTATGTGCCACATACCTGTTTTATGCGTATTTTCTTCAACTTCTCGCTGCTTCAACTTCAGTTGCCTAGTGACCACCATCCTAACTATATTTGATTGCCAATTGTGGGGGGGGGGGTAAAGGAGAGCCAATTGACATGAGGAGGAAAATATGAACTCAGAATCTTGATTTCGCACCTGTAAGTTGCATAGAAAATACCCGGTCAGATTTCTAGCAGGGCTTCATTCCTTAACTTTGCTCTCTGATATGTCGTATTTGGAGAAATATTGGGCCTTATGTACTTTTACTTAAACAAATGCCGAAAGTAAGATAAGAATACTTTCCTGGGACTTCCCTGGTGGCGCAGTGGTTAAGAACCCACCTGCCAATGCAGGGCACACAGGTTCGAGCCCTGGTCCGGGAAGATCCCACGTGCCGCGGAGCAACTAAGCCCGTGCACCGCAACTACTGAGCTTGCACTCTAGAGCCCGCAAGCCACAGTTACTGAGCCCCTGTGCTGCAACTACTGAAGCCCGCGTGCCTAGAGCCTGTGCTCCGCAACAAGAGAAGCCACCGCAGTGAGAAGCCCGCGCACCACAACAAGAGTAGCCCCTGCTCGCCGCAACTAGAGAAAGTCTGCACGCAGCAACGAAGACCCAATGCAGCCAATAAATAAATAAAATTAAAAATTACTTTAAAAAAAACAAGAATACTTTCCTTTTTTGTGAAGACTCTGCTGAAAGAAATCATTTGTCCTGTGGCCTTTTATCTAGGCAGGGTAGAAGAATACATTTCAGCACCAACTTTATTTATGGTACATCCGTTTTGTTGCAGTGTTCACTTTATTTCTGTTCCTCTGGCTCTAGCAGTGGGCTCCTAACCCACACCTATGGGCTTTCCTTGTTCAGGAATGGAGATCTAATGTGGGCTTTAATATGGGGTCAGTGAGGAGCCCCATGCCATCTCTGAGTTGGTCCTCTGTTGGCTCTACTAGGATGAGCTTTAGCTATTTTCCTCTTGTTTTCCACGGCTGGGTGCCATACAGGGAAATGATATCAGCTGCTGTCTGTGTGCCTTCACTGACCCCACTAACTGCCTCTAGTGAAAACCTTTGCTAACTGCCTGCTCTGTGCCTGCTTGGATAGACACCTGTTCTCTAGTCCTCAGGAGTCTACACTGTGTCTTCCTTGTCCTTTCTCCTTTGGGCTGGTATTTTGTTTTAGCCCCACTTCCTAGACTCACATCTCATTTCTTAAAACAATCATCCTCTGGCCATGATGACCTCCTGTGTGGATCTCTGACTCTTCCTAGACCCTGAAAGTCTCCACTTTTCCCAGATGGTTTCAGGCTTCTCAGTTTGTCTGACTGTCCCACTCACTCAGTTTTGTTTAAGACAGTAAGAGAAACCCAGATGTGCTGCTCTATTGGAAAAAGAGAGGGTTAACCAGCTTTTTCAGGATCAGCAAAATGATTTATGCAAGATCCTTTTAACTTACTTGGAAAACCTCCTCTGGATCATTTCATTCTGGTCATTCAGGCCAGGAACTTAGGATCCTGGGACAAAATCTCAGAATAATTCCATACAGCCCTTGTTCATTACCAAACTCCCCTTTCAGTGTATGAACTCCTTGGCTGATAGGTGAAAGTAGGAAAGAGGAGGAAGGTAGTCCTAGCTTACCTCTGTGTTGTCTCTCACTTGCTGTTGGCTTTTGTATTTTGCTGCATTGCCCCATGCAGACTAGCACCATCCTCGATATGCTGAGAGTGTCAGTCAAAGTTCCAACAAGAAACAGAGGCACATTCAGAGGGGCTTATTAGGGGAGTTTAACAAAGAGGCTATTTATAAGGGTGTAGGCGGGTTTAAGGGAAACCAAAAAAGGGTGGTGAGATATCCACAGGGCTAGTAACAGCTAGGAATCTTCACCAGCAATAGGCTTTTAGGGGCAGAGGAAGGAAAAACTACCAGAACATTGAGAGAGATCTGTATCTGTAGCATGGTGGGGGCTGTGGACTTCTGCTGAGGGAAGAAGCCACTGCCCACCCTCGGTCACGCAAGGAAAGACCTCTGACCTTACTCTGCCTCCTTCTTCTCCCATCCTCACATCTCCAGCCCATCTCTTGCAAGCACCTCCTGTTACCTGAATCCAACCAGAAGGCAGAGGAGAAAGGAGCTGGGAGGATGCAAAGAGCCGAAGTCAGCCTCTCACGGGGCAGAGAAGGTTGGGGAGGGTGGAAGGGGCATCTGGAGGGCTGGGGCTGAAGATGTCTGGCACACTGGGTAATTGATCCTCATCTAAGGTTGCCTCTTTAGACCATAAGAGGGTTTCACTGTGGTGAGTGGAATATGTCATTGAACTCTCTTAGAAGCTTATATAGTCATTTTCCCTCTGTGAATAGCTGTTTTCCTAAAGTAGTCAAATAATATAGTAAGTAGAAGATTCCCTATGGCCCTAGGGTCTCCCTGGGTCTTTGGCTTGCACATTGGTCTCGTAGCTCTTTAGCCTCCCACGTTTTGTGGAAGTTGCTCCCCTGGTAGCTGCATTGACGAAAAAACTGGTCTTTCTTTGATGCCCTTTTTAGTTGTATTCCTTTCAGCAATGGATATCAAACCACAAACCAAACTCCTCTCCTCCACTGTCTTACACTGGAGATCAACCTTCTTTATGAGACGTGTCTAGTAATTATAGGAAGCCTTAGAGGGATTTCTCCCTCCTCTTCCCACCCCGTCCCCCCACCCCCGCAACTTATGGAGAATTTGAAATCAGGGTTTTTTGATCTTGGGAGGGAGAAGCAGATTCTCCAGAAAGGAACTGAGATGTTGCTGAGTTGAGTGGCAGGAGACCCACCTAGATACAGCCTCTTTTGAGCTTGTGCCGCTTTATGAGTCAGCATTTCTTCTGGAGATAGTTCAGTGAACTCATATATTCCAGATCCAAAAGGGGCGGACAAATGTACTATGAGTTCCAGATACAGGCTCTAAAACAGGGGTCAGGGACAGCATTGAAAGGAAAGGATGTCACAGTTTCTTAATGCATAAAGTTTTTAAATTCTATGACAAGTGGGAGTTTTTAGATTCCTCTAAAAGGAGAGGTTTGGAGATGGTTCCCCCTCCTTTACATTGTGACACCATTTCTCATTACAGCTGTTCTAAAGGAGCTGTAGCAGGTCTGCTTGGCCCTCCTGTAGACATCTGCTTCTGTGAGGGGAAGGCCGAGCCAGGTGATCACCCAGTTCATGCTGAGACACACCTGCCAAGCCTCAGAAAGAGTGCAATTAAACCATGGAGTGGGGCTAACACCAATGCTGACCCCTTGACAGGAGCCCTGGTGAGAAATGTTTTGCAGCCTGCTCCCGGCCTCCCTTGGAGAGCTGAGAGATCTGAGAAGCTGTCTTCCCAGACCAAGCAACATGTGCAGTTCTCATGCCATGTAACCTTGGAGTTCTACAACGTATGCTAAGCAGCATGTTTCCTATGGCTCTGATGGCAAATGTTTTTTGCACTCTTGGTCTATAGAGTTTGGTGTTCATTTCTCTTGGAATTAGGGTGACTGACTCATCTTGGTTTGCCTGGGACTTTGCTGTTTTTAGCACTGGCAGTCTGATGTCCTGGGAATCCCCGTACTCAGTCACCCACATTGGAATCTTGCGACTGTGCAATGTGGAGGGAGGCCTGGACTGTGGGTGTGACATAACTGAGAGTCAGAATCTGCAGAGTCAGATCTCTACTAGGAGTGTGGCTGCGACATCACGGCCTTCTTCGCCAGGTTCCCGGGGAGCGTGAACTGAATGTACTTATTCCTGTCTCACAGAACACTCTGGGTGGTTGTGGGTGAGCTGAGGTTCAAGTGCGATAATGCACTAAAGCTTTTTGTAGATTATAAAGCACTATGCAGGCACAGTTATTCTGGTTACGTCATGCTTTCTTCATTGATAATCCCTGACCCTGAGCACATGTGGATCTCTCAACTTCGGGAAAGAAGAGGATCTAATAAATATTATTAATTTAGTATGTTCATTAATATTTAATACATTTATTAATAATTTAATGTATTAAAAATAATGAACAGTAAGTACCTCCTGTGTCCACTGAACATTGTGCTAAGTACTTTGTATACATTATTGCTTTTAATTCTTGTAAAAATTCTGTGAAATAGTTGTTATTATTCCCCGTTGCCGTTAGAGTCATTTCCTTAATACAGGAATCCTGTTCTCTTTTGGTGTAGACTCAAGGCTGATGAAAGCAGATGAGCCAGTATAAATTATCTGGGCTGGCTCCCAGAATGGGGAAGCTGTTTTGCATACCAGCATAAATCCTGTATGCAGACTTCTAGCTGGTCAACCCTCGAGGATCAGGTGAGGCCCGACCTACCCTTGGTGGCCCTGCTCAGACCTTGAGGTCTGCAGGTCTAATTAAGCCATCTTGAGCCATTTGACACAATCCAGCATTCTGAAAGGTATAGGAGTATGGGCTCAACTCTGTTGTAATATATACATTTGGAAACTTGTATATTTTTCCTTGGCTACTAAAAAAGTTTCCAGATAATGTCAATAAAATTATTGTACAGACATGATAAAAAATAATTTTCTAAAATACATATTTGTATACACAGCCTGTCCTTTTATTATGTTTTCACTCAATATTTACTTATGATCAAGTTTAAAATTTTATCCAAACATTCATCATTACTTTCCATTGAGTTAATATTTTTTTTTAAATGCAGATGTAAAGTGCACTTCTTACCAATTTAGCCTTCACCTGTTAAATTCATTAATGTCCATAGATTATCCATGATACATTTGATACAACAATTAAATCATGATGTCAAACCAGTTTCCACTTATCAAGAGATGTTTTCTCAAGGCCCTTGGAACCCACTCCAAGGCACCAATTTGCTTATAGAAAGAATCTGAAGAAAGATCTTTTTCTCCATGATAACAGCTAAGTTTGAATTACGTTATCTAAAGTAGAAATTTCTCTCCATTAGTCAAATCAAAGTGCTCAGAAGTTTCAAAGAAACCAATTTTCCATACATTTAAAGACTCTTATATATACATTTAACACCTTTCAATGAAAATTCTTTGCCACACAAAGTAGTAAAAAAAAAATACAATGTTTCTTCCTAAATGACGTTAAAACAGCTTCTTGGACAAATGGATTAAAAGACTGGGCCAAAACTTTATTTCAAGCTAGCTGCAAGGGATGAGACCCTTAAGTGTGCTGATTCAAGAGTCCCTTTAGGGATTTTATAAGAAAAGTGAATGGTTAATTATTGTTAAACCAAATACAAGAAAAAATAATGTCTGGCTAAAGATTATTAGGCTAGCCATTCAGCTGGATGGGTAACCCTGGCTTCCCAGAAGTCCTTAATCTTATTTAGGTTTATCAGAAAATTTCGGAAGCATTTTAACAGCAATGCCTATTACATCCCAGAAGAGGCTGTGAATTATATCATGTAAAAAGTTCTGCCTTAGACCAGGTTTGGGACCATTTTTATTCTCAGTGTGAATGTAACTTTTGTGCCAAGAGTTCTTACCAGTTTTTTGTTCTAAAATAATTTTTTTCTTAATATTCAATTTAAGTGGTTAGTCCTTTTGGAATAAAACTATCAAATATTTCTTACCTTAAAAGAATGTTGCAAGATTTGAAAAACGTGAAAGTGAAATGCAACACCTGTGAGAAACAGTAACATTTCATAATGGAAATAGTACTAGAGTAGACTGCACATGTGATTTTAAGACAAGCCGATAGTGTCTAGATCTATCCACTAATTAATAGGCAGTACATGGTAAACTATACCATGGAGGGGTGGTAATATCCAGACCATGGGAAATTCTACAGGACCAGAAATGATTTCTCCAACAAAGAAATTGCAAGGTGAGAATGAGAGAGAGAGGGAGAGAGAGAAAGGGAAAGGGGAACCTATAAAAAACACTTAAAAGACTTACCAATCAATCACACCGTGTAGACCTATTTGGATCCCAATTCAAACAAACTCTATAAAATAAAATTATGGTATTCATGAGGCAGTTGAAAATTTGAATTCTTACTGGAAATTTAATCATATTAAGGAATTGTTAATTCTTAAATTGTATCAATGGTATTGAGCTTATCTGTAAAAAAAAATTAACCTTAGAAATAAATAGTGGAAAATTTGCAGATTAAATGATACGATGTCTAGGATTTTCTTCAAAATAATACAAGAGGAAGAGAAGTGGGTGGATATAGATGAATATGATCAGCCTGAGTTGATAATTGTTGAAGCTCGGTAATGAGTATGTGGAAGTTCTCGTACAAGTCTGCCTACTTTTTGTACATGTTAGAATTCTCTTTAATAGAAAGTCTAAATAAAACGATGCCAGCGAGATTGGTTCTCTGAGCTGTTGGTACTTTCATTACTTCTTTGACCAAACTCCTGTTCTAGAGCCCACAGCCCGTGGAGCTCTGTGCATAAAAAAGCAGTTTGGAGAGCAGTGATGCCAATTACAGTAACATGTGTAGAAGTGATACAGTAATACGGTGTCAGCGAAAACCTTTCCTTTAGAGCATAACATAATAGAAGAAAGGAATTATGGCTAGACACAAAGAAATGGTTGTCATTCTGTGCATTGTAGTGAAAGGGTAGAACTCATCACTCGTAAAAAACTTGGAGTTTATTGGTTGTGGATAGAGAGTAGGGAAACAAGTGAGAAAGAACATGGTCCCAAATCCTGCTGTGGACAGAACTGTTCTTACTTAGTCTAAAAGGTACTAGGCCTCTTATGGGAAGTAATGCTGGACTAACATTACTGAATGAGGACCTCGTCTGGAAGGTTGGTGAGCCACCCACCTACCGACAGACAGTGTCAAGCTGACAGTCTTCAACCAGACTTGTATTTATTCATCTTCCTCTTAATCTTCTTCCTTGTAACTTCTTCTTCCTTCTTCTTCCTCCTTTGCATTCTCCTCCTCGTCTTTTTCCTTTTCTTTTTCTTCTTTTCAATAAATGTTTCTCCCAAGAGAGAATTCTTTGGTTTGGCTTGCAGCAAGCTTGGAATCAGACTCTGACATTTCTTGTAATCAATTTGAGAACTTGCTTTCTTCAGTTTTTTCATCATATGGAAATAACTAGATTGTTCATTGGCACATAATAAAAAATAGGAACCTTAGAGTTTCTGGTCTAGCAGCTCAACGTTGGCAGTTGGAACCCTGGGTGAGAGGGTAGAGAAAAAAGAATCTGGAAAGAGAGGAGCCCCGCAACAAGGCCAGAAGCTGGGACTCTGGAGGAACATAACCAGGGAAAAATTCACCTGCCTAACATTCAGCTTGACATCCTTTCCTGAACTGTATTGTTTTTACTACTCTCCTCTCCAATCTCAGTAAATGACAGCCCCATCCTTGAATTCACACAGGTCCAAAACCTCTCATTCTTTTACATCTGCATTTGGTTCATCAGTAAACCCTGCTGGCAGACCTTCAGTGTATATCCATAAACTCACCATCACCCTGCTGGGACAGTGGTTCCAGCCACCAGCTCTGACCTGGGTGATTCTAATAGCTTCCAAATTCGTCATCCAGCTATCACCTTTGCCTCTTTTAGTCTCTTCCCAACCCAGGAGCCAGATGGTCCATCTAAAATGTAAGTCAGAATCACTCCTCTACGCCAAAGCCTGCGACAGCTTCCCAATTGACCCTGTGTAAAAGCTAATGTTATACTGACCTACTGGCCTGCACAATCAGCTTCCAAGTCCTCTGATCACATTTTGGCTTTCTCTGCATTCATTCCCACTGCAGCCACAGCCCTACTGGCCTCCTGCTGTTCCTCCATCAGGGGCTCTGCACTTGCTTCTCCCTCTGCCTGGGGTGTCCCTCCCCCAGGTAGGGACATGGCTCTCTCCAGCACCTCCTTCAAGACTTTGCTCAATGTAAAGGCCTCACAGTGAAGCCTTCTTGAGTCTTCTATTTAAAAATCAACTTTCTTCCCAGCACTCTACTTCCCCTTTATTTGCTTTTTTTATCTCTGTGCATTTACTGTTATCAGACATACTCTATAATGTCTTATTTATTGTATGTATTATCTGAGTGTTTACCCTGGAATGTAAGCTCCACGAGGGCAGAGATTTTTGTCTCTTTTGTTTGCTGCTGAATCCCAAGCCCAAACAGGGCCTAGTCTGTAGTAGATGCCTAATACATATTTGTTAAATGAATGAATGAGTTCCCCAAACTAATAAAAGCTAGCATTGAAGGCATTCTTATGTGATTAGTGCTTTGGGGGGATGAAGCAAAGTGGCTGAGCGCAGATGAGACAGGGTGCTGCTTTCTAACAATGAGATGCTGAGCTAGTAACACCGAGATTTGTGGGAACAGACATTTCAAGTGAGACGTACTTGAGCCCCTGGGAAGGGCCTTTCTGACCTTCCCACGATAGCCTGAACTGTCTTATTTGGATCTTTAGACAAAGGCAGTTATAGATTTGGAAATACTTATGAACATTTGGTTACTTTAATAAAATTTAAAGTTACATTTTGAGAAAAGACATACTTTCTAATACTGGGCATTTATACTTCTGGTATTTGTGCAATTTATTTGTCAAAAAAAGAGGTTTAAATATTTGAAATCAGACATCTGGCAGCTTAAACAGCCTAAAATTGAAGACAGTCAAAGCTCTATTTGAGATCTGCCAGGCACCAAACACAGCCTGCAATGTTGAACCTGTTGCGGAGGCGGGGGGCGGGGTGAGGGTAGGACTGGGCAAGGTAGGGGCAGGCCCTGTACATTGACTACTTCTCTGGGGGCCCTGAGAGGAGACAGAGCAGGAGTGGAGATACTGGCCAGGAAAGTGGAGGAGACTGTGGTCGAGGTGCTGCCAGCCCTAGAACGAGGCTTGTCCCTGTGTTGGCCCAGTTGGCCTGCAGTGACCAGATATCTCAGGGGTCCTAGGAGGAAGTTATCTTGTTGGCACTAAGAAGAAGATAAAAATTTAATTGAGAAAGAAAAGCTACTCTCAAAAATTTAATTGAGAAAGGAAAGCTACTCTCATACATAAGTAGCCCTGCCCTCCCTCCAGCCACTTTTGTTAATCTGTCATCCGGTGGGCCCTCTTCCCGTCTCCCCTTCCAGTCATCTTTCAACCCAGAGATCGGCCCCATCTCTGAGGTCACAACCCACTCCTATTCCTCCCACACACTCACCTTTAAAGGCCTCTCTTGATGTTCATTTTCTTTTTCTTGATGTTCATTTTTGTCTTACATAAAAATATTAAGAAAAAAAAAAAGAAAAAATAATTCAGGCCCACATTTGCCAGGGCTGGCTGAGCTGCTAAATAAACCTGAGAGCGAGTACAGAAGTCTGAGGAGTTGACTGAATATTCTGTACG